TAAGGCCATGCATATCATGTTGAGAATAATTTTTAGCTATTCGTCATTATCTTTTTTTTTTTTTGGTAAAAATTCATCATTATCTTATCGTCACACATGTACATCAATCGCAGAACATCTTTTTAAAGATATATCTCTAATCACATTCCACTTTCACTCATCTGAACCATCATCTCTTGTATATGGTCAAATGAACACTGAGTGGATCAATGTCAAACTGAACTCTAGGGGATTTTGGAGGTTTAAAGGGGAGTTATGGATCATTGAGGATACTTAGTACATGTCCATTCCCCTTTTCTTTCATCAATGCTTCTTACATTATGTTCCAAGCCTCCAAAATTATTTCTCTAAAATTGCTAAGTTAAAAATCTCTAAATCTCTGAACTCTATTGATCCACCTTTTGACTTTGGTTCAGTAAGTTTATCCCATGCTTTCCAATTAAAATCTTCTTCCACCCAAAGGCAGAAATAAATGAGGTTAACTTTGCACATAGTGTCTTTGGGAGGAGGAATCATGACATTGTGTAAGTTGGGAGAGCCATGGCCACTGCCTATCATCACCTCTTATACCTCTTGAGAGAATATGGTGTTCGAAATATTGAATTATCACTCTTTTTATTTTATTTTTTAGTTATAAAATTTAAATTGTAACAAACTGAAATGAATATACTTGATTTTCTATTCCGTCTATTCTATATACATACATATATATATATATATTCTAGTTAAAAAGCCTACGACCATGCATGAGTTCATCACCATAAACAACTAGTTATAACATTTCTTCTTTTTGTTATTTTTTCAGAAAGATATATTATATAAAATTACAAAATAACTCTTTTTGCAGGAAAGTTATAAAATAACGTTTTCATAAGTATAAGTTTTGGGGAAACATAGTACAAAAATTATATGTAGTCATTCAGATTATATTTAAAGAAAACCAAAACGAAAATGTTTTAACTTATTAAACGTATGTGAAACCAACATTATAATTAGGGTTGTGCAGGTAAGGCAAAACGACACGACATTTGCCAACTTAACCAAGCTTTCTTTTTATTTTTCTCAATATTTTGCCACATAATTTCTATTTATTTAACAAATAGCAGCTACAATGTTTCTGTTTAGTATAGCACAAATCATTTTAGAGAAAAATGAAAAGAGAATACAAAAATTTGTAGGATCAGAAATTTTGTGTCTTACAAGTCAGGAACAATTTTCAGATGTCACCTTGATCCGATCTCAAGAGGTCAACAAATTACTCAAATTAATATGCTTCTCTGTTTACGACACTTTATTCTTAGTTTTTGTAGAGATTTCTAGTACTTTGAAACTCCGTAACAAAGTTTAAAACAAAACTAAACAAAAAAAAACTTTGTAATAGTGGTATGCATATGTTTTAAATTAGAAAATTTGGGGTTCATGTGAGCTATACTGTTTGATTCAAGTTTGAAAACAGAACACCACCCATCTAAGGCAAGCAAAACCTTTTTTATTGAGTTCCTCTTGTACAATAAACATAAATAAATCTTCTTACCAAAAAAAGAATAAACATAAATAAATCTTCTAGATAGCCAGAGTCAAGGAGAAGGGAACTTGTAACTTTTATTCTTACCTAAGAGCATGTCTAATGCTAAACTTGTTAACAAGTTTTTTAGCATCTTACTACTATTAAAAGAGAAGTACACATTTAATCATAGCAAAAAAAATTGGTTTCAATTCCAAAAATTACCCTTAATTAGTTTAAAAGGAAAATAGTTTTCTAAATTAAGAAGGGTAATTTTTGTCAATTTTGCACAAAAATTAAAATGCTCCGACCCGACTAACTTTAACCCGCGCGTATGTCCACATTTATTGTTGACCTGAAGCAACCTACGTTCGATCTGTAGTTAAAACCATATATTCTTTTATCAATAATAAACTAATGGGCTTATTTATCATTCAGTATTCTTTGATTTTTACGGCCCATGTTTGTTTCGATTTGAACGCATCGATTAAAGAGTTCATGTAAGCTTCTTTTATCACCGGTGAACTCATCGTTAACCTCTGGTTCCATTACAGCAATCGACGTAGTATGTATATATTCTTACCGCTAACCATTTCTCTATCTCCTCCTCCTTTCTTCAGAGTCGCTTCGTCTCTGGTTCCGTTAGTGACCGGGAAGGTGATGACAACATATGTTAAGATGTCGTTGAGGTTTATCACTGGAAGTATTTGATCAGATTCGAAAGAGGAATCTGAAAATTCAGTATATCTGAGATGAGAGAGTGATTGGAGGAGAAGCAGTGAAAATGGTGGGACAAAGAGAGAGAGACGCACGCTGCTATTTTTCTTGATATTTTTTTAGAGAAGAAAGGTGCAAAATTGATTCTCTTTGTTTTGTTTTTTTTTTTTTTTTCCGATGTTTGTTGTTGTGCTTGAGATTTATTTATTTATTTTATATTATAATAACTTCTTTTTAAAAGGGCATAATAGAACCCATATAGTCATATAAAAAAAATCAAAAAAAAAATCATGATATGGTCATGATATGGTGTGGATCAAGTAAGGAAGGATCCATATAGTCATGATATGCATAGCAGATGAAATAGTATTACGTAAAACACAAAAGAATGATCCAAGATGAAACTAATTTTGAATGGTTACTTAATTATTAGAAGATTTATCTTGAGGCAAAAATTTAAGTCCAAGAGTAACTAACCTCCAAAGACAATATACATATATGGGTGACCATCTTTTAAATTGCATTGATTATGAAGTAATGCCTAAATATTATATAGCATAAATATACTATATTTATTAGGATCGGATCCGCGCTACACCGCGGAGAAAATAATTACATATATATAACATTCAACGGATTATAATATGTTACATTTTAATTTTATTACATTTCAGTCAGTGAATCATATAGTTATGTAATAAGTTTAAATAAAATAATAAACGGAAAAAGCGAGTAAATGATAATATATTAAGTTTTGATACAATTAAAATAATGGTAAAAATTTAACAGCACGAAATAATATTTGTCGATAAATTTTTCAATTTTACCATATTTGTAGTAAAAAGTAGGAATAAACGTAAAAATTACATACTTACAATATATGTTTTGAAGGACTAACATGTACATTAAATCATTTCGTAAAAGACATTATTATATTGGTCATAATTTTAAATCATTGTCCCAAATATTTAACCGAGTGTAGTTGAATACTATATGTCCGTTTTGAAAAATTCAAATTGCAACATATGAAAAAGTTAAATTTTCTTAAAACATTTTTATTATATAGTATAATATCATAAATTAAAAATAAGATCAAATAAAAGTTAAAGAAAAATAATATTTTTTTTTGATATATTATATTAAATTAGTTAGAGAAATATTAGGAAATCCTAAAATTAGTTATAGAAATATTTTAATCCTAAAATTAGATATAGAAAGTACCTGATGTATGTATCGGAACCCAATTTAATATCTAATTTGTTAAAATCGGGTTAAATTTTGATTTTGACATGACCCCGTCTCTATTTTGTACTTTTGTTTTACTAATATAGAAATAATACAAATATCTAACAATTTCTAACTAAACTAACGATAAACCAACCCATTCTAATATGATACACGGTCCGAAATTGAACACACACTAATAGAGACGCTGTAAATAAAATAAAAAATAAAAATAATGCAAAATAACGATGACTAAAACTAAACAACAATCAAATTTAACACAAAACACCCTACGGAACGTATGTACATTATATTGACTACTTAATTTATAACTATATACCATAAAACAAAACATATCAAATATAAAGTAGTATTACCTAAAAAAAATTAAAAAATAAACACCCGCGGTACACCGCGGGTTTAAACCTAGTTATTGTAATAAAAAGAAAGTACAAGTTTTGAAATTAACAAATTTTTGAAGATGAAAGAAATATTGTTTCCAATGGTAAAGTTCTAAATTTAAAGTTTTCAGGATTATTATTATTTCTTTTACTAAATTCAAACCACTCAAATACCAACACCTACCACTAAGAATCAATCTATAAATATGTTAACTAAGGGCATGGGCATTGCAAGGACCCATTCCTTGGTCCTTGCAATTTTTTATCAATTATTTTTGTTAAGGACAAATGTTTATTATTTTGGTACAAGCATTGGTCCAACGGAATTCGTCCCACGGGAAAAACTAATTTTTTTAATTATTAATTATTTTATTTTAATTTATAAGTAAAAACATTTCAAATATTAGATAAATTTATAACATATTAAGAGTGGAAAAAAAGAAAAATTAAAAAGTTACAAAAACATGAAAAAAATTAAACACACAATAAAAACATTATAACATAAAACACAGAAAGATTAAAACATGAAAACATTTTATTGAATTTTTGAAATTTAGAACTTAATCTTCAATCTTCATTATCCGGTAGATATTAAGATCGTTCATAGTACCTGGAGCTCCAAAGAATGCATGCCAAATCCAAAGGTCATAGGAAGCAAACGCCTCCAACACGATTGTAAAAAATTTAAATTTTCTTGAAAATTTCGATAATATGCATCAAATGGATCATCCTCATCTCTTTGGTAGTGGTAATGATTTGAAGATGATGCCATTTATGTTTTTTTTTTTTGGAAATAGAAAGTGAAATAAAAAGAAGACCGATGGTATGAGAAAGGTTTATTTCAGCCAAAGTGTTAATAATACGAAGAAAAAGAGTAGAAGATGTGGAAAGCAAAAATCATTTGGGTTAATAATACGAAGACCCCGATTCATTTTTCCCCTTCACTAATCCTTGTCCAATAACAGCATGCCACGTGGTGAGAAGGACGCTCGTTATTTGTCCCGTTTGAGAATACGTTTCTTCGTTTATATCGCATAAAACATTTTCTTTTAAATGTTTAAAGCCCAAGGACGATGTCCATATACGGCGATGCCCATGGTGTAAGATACATTTTTTAGCTTAATTATCATTATTGATTTTTTTTTTTTGCCTTTTATTACTAAGAAATATGTTAACAATCTTGCATTGTACATGGTCTAATTAGATGTGTGCGTATTATTGTTATTACGTTTAAAGAAAAAAACTGAGAGGTTAATTTCAGCCTTCTAAATACATGATGCTCTCAACATCATCCCAAAGAATCGCCCGCAAAGGCCCGACACAAGTGAACCTGGGGTATAATGGCTCCATAACAACCCCTCCGGCTATACGATTCTTCTCCAAGTCGTAAATAACATTGATTGATGTTTTACTTCTATCAAATCTTCTTCGAGACAACCTGACCTCTCCGCTGCGACTGGTACTTCTAATCAACAACTCATTAATATCGAGGCTCTGCCTAAGCTCATGACAAGGTAAAACAAAAACCTTGTGCGACCATTTACTCTTCCCGGCATCCTCAACCACCCAGAGCTGTAGCATACATTCAGTAACGAGACGGGAACACTCAAAGACAGCTACTTTACCTCTGTAATTCATGAGATTAGCTCGACAAGGATGCCAGATTACACCAGCCTCAACTGGTAACTCAATCAAATTAAACTCCTCAGAAGCCAAGTTAAAACTAATGAGCACACATCTCTTCCCAAGACACCAAGCACCATAGTACAAAACACCATTGATCGAGATCCCTTGGGAGTAAGGACGATGAGGAGGATGAGTGTGGCTCCGAGTGTTTCTCCATGAAGCTCCAGCTCCAAGAACCAAAACCTGAGTCTCGGAGCTCACTCTCCTCAATCCCTTGCTGACCGAACTAACATTGCTTAGCACTTTGTATTCATCACTAACAGGATCATGCCCAAAATAGTTCCACATAAGAGAATCACCTTCCCACATGTTGGATTCTACAATGGGCAACCTCAAGAGCTGCCTTGTGGTGAGGTTATAGATCCGTACTTCTCTCCCAAGCCTGAAACACATCAACCCCCGAAGCGGGTTCACGAAATGGCCTCTCATTGCCGGCAAAGTCAGATCTTCGTTGAGTTGAAGGAAAGATACTGATGCGTCCCAGTTTCTAGGCGATGATGCTGAGAACAGCATATAGTCACTGTAGCTTTGCAAGTCCACCACAGACATGAACACACGCCTTTCTAGCGTCTGTGACGACAATTTGAAGAAAAAATTGGTGAAATACCGAGAGGAGATCAAAGAAGACCAGAGCTTCGACACACACTTGAACCTCAACAGCGAATTCACTGGCAATCGCGCCAGGATCTCCATCCACACTTCCTCGGGGGTCTCCCCAAAGGTTGCGGCGGATCTAGCATCAGCCTTTACGATGCTTCTTCTTCTTCCTTTTCTTCTTCCTCCTCCTGCTACCTTCTTCTTCCTCAGGCCTTTCACGGCAGCAAGACCAAAAGACAACCTCATTGTTGTTGTTACGTTCACAGATCTCTCTTGTTAACAAGGACAACCGGCCCTAAGACCAACATTATAGGTAGTATGTTAATTAGGGTATCTTAGCATTAAATTTGAAAAAGTAAAGTTTAAGAGTTTTTAGTTTTGAGATGTGTTTATTGGTAGGATTTTAAGTTGGATATCTTAGAAAAAATTATTTTTAAAAAAATTAAATAAATTTATAATTTGTAATTTAAGAAAATTGTATAATTATTGCAAATTTAGAATTTGAAAACATACCTAAGAGAGAAATTATAAGATAGAAATTATAACATAAAGTACAGTAAATTTAAACTTGATTGTGTGAAAATTTATTCCAAATATGTTCGACCAAATCGTTCTTCAATTATTCATGCTTAGCTCGATCCCGAAGTTGAGTTCTAGCAGCCATCAGATCGACGAGATTTGAAGGCTATCTGTATCATACGAGAAATCCACTCGTGTACTTTCGGCAGTTTCCGCTTGTTGAAATTCGGTGACATCAAACTGAGTATACATATCTTGTTCATTTTCATCTGGAGATCTTACAAAGAAAATAAAATTATTTAAAAATTAAATTAAATTAAAATTTGTAATTTGAGAAAATTTTATAATTATAGCAAAATTTAAAATTTAAAACATACATAAAATGGTGGTCGTCAGTTGACAACAAAAAAAAGTGGTGGTCATCGGTGATATTATTGTTTCGCATCGCGAGAAAAGGAAAGAAAAAAACTAAGTTAATTTTTTCCCCTTATATATTTATCTCTGTATCCAATCAAACTGTGCCACATATACGTATCTTAATTCTTCAAAAGTATCTTGCATAAGATACTAAGATAGGTATCTTAGCTAACATTATGATTTTTGATTTTGATTTAAATTTAAATCCTAATTCTGCTAAGATACCCCTTAAATCTCGTTGCTCTAATAAGTTAGATACTCTGTACTTCTCTAGAGAGTAAAAAGTAAAACAGAACACAACTCACTTATTTTTAAGGAATCGAAAGTACAACTATTTTGTCTTCACGCTGGTACTCTTTATATAACACTATTTGAGGTTAAAAATGGGCCGAAGACCAAAAGGCCCATATCTATTTGAGTATAATTAACTTGGATACTATTAATTGTTTGGATATGTCAACCTTTTTGATCTTTGATAACTCGTCCACCCACATTTGAATTCCTTATTAGAGCTTCGATTATGAATAGCGTAGGATAACTCACATATACCCTCTTCGAATTAGGAAGTATATTACTTAAACATTGCGTAGGATAACTCACATATATCCTCTTCTAGTTAATTAGGACGAAATCTAGCTGAATCTAAGCATAATATACTTAGATGGAAAACAAGTTACTTAAGAACCCAAGTCCAAAATCGCTAACCTTACTTAAACCTAATATAATATAGTTGGGTTGTACAACTACTAATAATACAAATTACTAAGCAATATAATAGACAATTTCTAATTATAGAACCCAATTAGAAGCAATGATAAAGTCACTTGGTAACACATATTTTTAGCTAACAAACCAGTGATATGTTTGGTATGTGTTTTGCTTATTACAATACTTCGTCCAACACATGATGCCGTTTCAGTAAACTCTTAAGTAATGAAAAATTCAGTCCTTAGATGAAATGTCATGGAATTCAGTTAATTTTTGAATCAACTAAATTATTAATTATCAATTTTTGAAAAATCTTGTGTTTTGCTTAAATAATATACACATAAAGACCTCGGGTTTGGTAAGCACTAGGTTTAAATAATCATATGTTTTAAATTCGAGCTAGGTACACAAATGTCTAGTACAAATTTATATATATAAAGAAAAAAGTGTATAATTACAAAAGCAAGTCATAAGTAAAAGTCTTCCTTCATTTAGTACATTCATTCTTATGTACGTAAGTAAATCACGTACAAGTTCATAGAAATCCTTGCTCGATCTCAACATCATCCCTAGCTACCTTAGTCGGTGGGAGCTAAGAAATTTCTACACTAAAAGAAAAGAAAAGGACGTAAGAAAGGGTTCGTTGACTTTGTCTCAGCCACATGACCCGACTATTTCATAAGAGGAAGACTTGCCAAGTCAATGTCCTTACGAGTGATGTGCTCTATATTATAAAGATAAGCGTGTAAGCAATAATACATGTCTATCACATATTCACATAACAAAACTAAAAATAGCATTTGTCTCCAAAAACTTAGTATGATACAAAAAAAATCTTATTGCTTTCTTGGTATTACTACCATCTATTTTTTCTATGGCTTTCTTGGTATTATTACCTTTGCTTCTCTCACACAGTCGTCCTTGTGCCGCCACGACCAGAGAGATGCTCTTTTGGAGCTACAAAAGGAGTTCGGTATACCAACAACTTCATGGAACACGAGCGTTGACTGTTGTTCATGGCTTGGTGTTACTTGTGATGATATTTTGGGAGAGGTGAGATCACTATATCTCCGTGCCTCCAATGTCACTGTCAACACCTCTTTGAAAACTCACAGTGGTCTTTTTAAACTCCAACATCTTCGTGAGCTAGATCTTTCATTTTGCCATCTCCAAGGTGATATTCCTTATTCCATTGGAAATCTTTCCCATCTCACATCTCTTCGTCTTTCTCTAAATAACTTAGTAGGTGAAGTTCCGGCTTCAATCGGTAACCTAAACCAACTAAGATACATGGATCTTTCGTGTAATCATATAAGAGGTAATATTCCTACTTCATTTGCCAACTTAACCAAGCTTTCTATACTCTCCCTCTATGAAAATAAATTCACTGGTGGGGATATAGAAGTAGTATTAGCCAATTTAACCGGCTTGACCGACATAGACCTCTCCACAAATCACTTCAAATCCTCGTTTCCTTCATTCTTGCTCAAGATGTCTTCCTTAGTCAAGATTGATTTAGTTGAAAACCAATTCGAGGGAACTCTTGATTTTGGGAATACCTCTTCATCATCTAAGCTTGAAGTGTTATCTGTTGGCAACAACAATTTTTATGGGCTAGTTCCAGAATCTATATCTAAATTACAAAATCTCAATTCTTTAGATCTTAGCAAGAACAATTTCAAAGGGAAACTCCCTAGTTCCATATCCAAATTAGATCTCAATTTCATTGATCTTTCCTACAATAAATTCGAAGGCCAAGTACCTCATAATTTCTGGAGAGTCCAGCTGAGACCGTCTCAGGTGGACTCGGGGTCTGTAAAGCTTTCTCATAATTCTTTCAACAGTTTCGGCAAACCAGTGGAAGTTACCGATGGAGCAACGTTAGCAGAGTTGGATCTTGGGTCAAATTCATTCCAAGAAACATTTCCCCAATGGATATGCAAGTTCAGACATTTAACTCACTTGGATTTGTCAAACAACCATTTCTCTGGTTCAATTCCTCAATGTTTGAAGAACTTCACTGGTCTTCAAGTGTTAAATCTCGGACGCAACAGTTTAAGTGGATTCATACCAGATTTTATTGCCTCTCCGTTTCCAGATTTTATTGGCGCTCCGTTACGCTCACTCGATGTCAGCCATAACAATTTGATAGGAAAACTTCCAAAATCTTTGATCAATTGCTTTGATATGGAGTTTCTTAATGTGAAAGGAAACAAGATCAAGGACACGTTTCCTTTTTGGTTGGAATCTCTACAACTTTTAAATGTTCTCATGCTCGGATCAAATGCGTTCCACGGTCCAATCTATAACCCTTCTGCCTATTTAGGTTTTCCAAATCTGCAGATCATTGACATATCCAATAACAACTTTGTTGGATCATTGCCACAAGACTATTTTGCCAATTGGACAATAATGTCATTGGTGTGGGATGAGTCCGACATCCCAGAGTTTGGATATATGGTATATTCTGAAACTATTGATTTGGTGTACAAAGGAGTAGACAAGGAATTTGATCGGATCTATCTTGGCCTCAAAGCCATTGACTTTTCTGGAAACCGGTTTTCCGGACATATCCCTGGATCCATTGGTCTATTGAGCGAACTTCGTCTTCTAAACTTGTCAGGCAATGCATTCACAGGCAACATCCCACCATCCATGACGAATATCACAAAGCTTGAGATACTGGACCTATCACGAAATAACTTGTCAGGTGAAATCCCTCGTGGTCTTGGCAAGCTCTCGTTTCTGTCATACATCAACGTCTCCCACAATCATCTACAAGGATTGGTTCCACAGAGCTCACAGTTTGGAAGTCAAAATTGTTCTTCGTTTATGGATAATCCTGGACTATATGGCTTCGAAGATATTTGTAGAGAAAACAATGTCCCTCTTTCTACAACGCAACAGCTCGAGGAGTCTTTGTCGGAACCGGAAGAGCCAGTGCTGAATTGGATAGCAGCCGCGATAGCGTTCGGACCTGCTGTGTTTTGTGGATTAGTGATCGGACACATCTTCACTTCATACAAACACATGTGGTTTATAGCTAGTTAAGCTCAACGGTTTCGTCAAGTTTGTATAACTCAAATAACTAGTCGTTAAGTGTTTGTTATTTTGTGGTTTCTAATAAACATTGTCGGTGTTATAAGTTGTAAAATCACTAGTATGGAACTATGGATCACTAGTATAAGTTTTTATGTATGAATCCTCAAGTTTCTTTCAAGTGAATTAAATGCCATAGAAGATAGACTAAATTACTTGGATTCATCTGACCATGATGATATGAAACGTACGTATGTCAACTAACTAAGTTACAGTTATTTGTTGGAGCCGAATAGCAGGAATACATCTTCAACCTAGAACGCTTCGTCAAAGAACAAATCATCGGCCACGTTTTCATACTCTAGGGTTCTGGTGACTTGAGGTGGTGTATAATCCATATAATCCATTAATATAGGAAGTGAATCTTCTGAAGAAAGAATCAAACTAAGAAATATTTCATTCTTAATTTACTACCCTTATAAATTAAACGACTGGACGAAGGATGGGTAGGTGAACTTATAAGTAAAAGGAAACTTATAAACCAAGAAACAAAGTTACCCTAAACTTAGAGTGAGATCATGCCTCCGCACTTGCCGCCAGTTTTAGCTTGGCAATGTTTTTAAATTCAATGCCCAATTAATTTGGTTCGGTTGAACCATAACCGGATTTTGGTTCGGTCACAAATTGATCACTCGATTCCTTCTTAAACCTAACTGAGAAACCATAAGTATTCTCCAAGATACAATCTCTCCGATCCGATTAGAATCTTCTCAAAAGCCGTACATGGCTTCCCTCAAGCGTTTGTTGCCGTGGCTGCCATCAGAGTTACACACACATACTGATATGTCTCGTCCGTGTTACTCCATTGGCAAGTCAAGAAATATCATGGGCGTGGTGTGAAGATGTAGAAGAAGATGAAGATGATATGTGGTATACTTGCATCACTCTTTACGACAAATTGAGACAGAGCGACAGGAATTTCGCTACATTGATCCATTTATTTCTAGCTATGTGTATGTCCAAAGTCTGATTCCAGTTCCAGAATAAGAGATAGATATATCAGTGTTGTTTAGTGTTCTTTAAACCAACGGAAATGTGGTTGTAAATCTCAAGATAAGACTAAATGAGGCTTGAGGCTTTATAGTAATCATTTCATCTCCAAGCATATTGCATTTAGTTCTACAAGCAATACAGATTCTAACGAGTTTTCCAACAAAAAGATGTTTCTCTTTTCCTAGCTATGAGATTCACAAAACATGGAATGGAATCTCTGACCTGAAATCTCAAGCAGTGGAATCTTTTAGTTGGGTGCAGCTCTTTTCCGGCCACGGGCTTTACTGCTTGTTGCCTTCTTTGAGTCTACTTCCTCGCCCTGCTCATTGTCACTTCTTTCACTGTCGTCAAAGCTTTCAGTTTTATCTGTTGACTCTTCCTCCTCAACTGCCTTCCCTGAATCTTCTTTGTCCCTTAGTGCCCTGAGTTTTGCCTTCTTTGCATTTAACACAGATAGAAACTGCATTGACACATAACAAAATCAATACAATATCCTTTCACAGAGACTGTTCATCCCTAAAATTGAAGCAACTACGAGATAACAAAAGCCAACGATTCTATTCTAAAGATAACACATGCCTTGGCATAAGTTGCATCCTCAAACTCTGTTTTTTCTTTGCAAAGTTTTTGACCTTGCGCGAGACATTTCTCAGCTTCACTCTTCATCTTCTCAAACGATCTCGTCTTGTTCACAACTTCTTCCTGTGGAGTATAACTAAAAAACTTGAGAGTTGCCAATCCTAAGAAAGCACATAGATCAACTAACTTAAGATCGATTCCATCACATTCATTGGCAACACCTTAGCCATTTCATTCTAAGACATCACAAGAAATCCCCAAAAGTATCAGAGTCATACACTTAGCCTTATATTAGACTCCATAAGAAAATCCAAGACCCCTACAGTGATCTTCTTGCTATCATGAGATGGCTTACACTTCCACCTCCACTCAAGTTTAGTCCCTTCCTTCTCAAACGTCCAAGAGAGCTGTACCCAAACACAACATCCAAAATTTTCAAGACTTACTCAAAACATTAACGAACCATTTGTTCACCAAACAAAAGATTCAAATACTAATTTGATTATAATCAAAAGAAGTTAACATTTTTCATGAACTGACCCGTTTACATCCCTCAAGAGCATCAGAGAAACCATAGATAGAATCAGGCTGTTGAAACCCTAAGTACTGTTCGGCGAGCTCCAAATACTCCGATACAGGTTGGTCCCATTGCGCCGCTCGCTCCGCCACCTCCTCCTCCGTCGCTTCAATTCCGAAAACCAAAAAAAAAAAAAATTCGAAAATCTGTAGAGACTTAGTGACAGTATGAATTTAGGGGTTTCTTTTACCATTGCAAATCCAAGAGGAGGAGCCATCGGTGACGGAGATATCAAAACGAGAGTGATACCAAGTGCCTTTGACGAAAATCGGATCGGCGCCGGAGATTTCAAGCCGGAGACATGTGTGTTTCGTTCTCTCCGATTCAACCATTGCCTTCACATCAAAGTCGCCGAAGACGTTTTTAGAGTCAACTCCGATAATAATGTATTTGTTTTGTTTCGCTTACGTGGATGCTGAGTCAGCTTCGGTCATTAAAACTTGGATAATTCTCTTAAATAAAATATATTATAAATTTTAATTTTTAAAAATAGCACTAAAATATATATTTTTAAGAATATTATAAAATTAAAACTAATTAACATTCAAAACTAATTTTAAATCAATAACACTAAAACTTACCCAAAAAAACTATATCCTAAATATAAATAGTCAATTCAAACATTTTTTAAAAAATTGAACTTTCAAAAGTCAATGTTTTATATTTATGGTATTTTCTTGGAAAAATAAAACTTAAAATGTGGTATTCCAAAGATATTTCTCTTAAAACTTTAACATTTTTTTACATTTTAATGATTTTAGTATTTTACTATATGGTTCTCCTTACATAATTAATTAATTACTGTTTTTATTCATTATTTAATTTGTTTTTGTTAACTTTAAGCTTTGAAAAACTCATCATAAAATTGAAGAATATCTAAATGTAGTTTTACAATTTTTATGTTTGATATTTTTGCATTTCCTATCTCCCTCACTTATAAAGTTAGAATACATCCTTTTTAAAGTGTATTGTAGTCTTTTTTATTTATAATAACCACGTTTGTTATTTAATTAAGTTAATCAAATTTTTTTTTTTTTTTTTGATGAAAGAAAGAGAGAGTTCATTACGTTGAAGTCGCTTTCCAGATACTGAATTACCATTGTAATAGCGCAGTGAAAATATATTAAAATCTCAACACAATAAATCATTATGGAGTTATGAATGTAGATAGAAAAGTCTTGAAAATTTTGTAAGGATTGAAGAATTAAACAAGGTATATTCACCGGAATATATATATATATATATACACTTTCACAACTTTCATAATCTAACTAATTATTAGTTAAAATTTTGTTCAGCTTTGGTGCGAAATCTTAAAACAATATCACAAGTCAAAATAAATAAAAAACCAAAACATTTTTACCTTTTTTCTTTCTAAAACTACAAATTACAACAAACATGTATGTCTGGTGTGTTGAATCTGTGGCTTTAAAAATTATTTCACAAATCCTTCGCCTTTTAAATTACCATTCACTATACTAAAATGTCAAACCTATAAATGCGACGTCTATATACATCTCCCAAAAATATAAAGCATCATAATAATTATGAAATTATTTAATTGTTTTTATGTAACCATTTTGGAGAATTATTATTTATTATTTATATGTTTTTGGCATATAGACAAATGGGACCGACCCACTTATTTGTTGGATAGTCTTTCTTTTACTCCACTCAGCGCATAACCTCTTTATCACACACATCTCAATCATCTCCCACACGTCTTCTTCTTAGTTTTTCAAGTTTACTATCTCACCCTTGAACCTATCACTGATTCGACTTCGACCCTTACTTGTAAGAAGGGCATGTCAGGGAAATATGAAAGCATAATGAGATGCTTATCTTAAAATTTAAATATTAATCAGGGGGTGGTGCAATGTGTTTTTCAATTAAGAGTTTAGGTGTGGGATAATCTAAATCAATGAGCAATTATATTAAATAAAGATTTGATGCATTGCCAATAAGGATGCTATGTCTTTTCCATAATCATCACTTTTAATTTATGTATTCCTTGCCAAGTCCATAAACTCATGTTTAAAAAATAAATATGATGTGTTTTAGTAATCATCTCATCAACCATTGGCAGTGATGGGAGTGGAAGTAAACAAAATATAACAGATGTACTTTTGACTAGTTGCACAAAAAATACTATAGTTTGTGTACCCAAAGTTTATAAAATTTGGAGTTTGGAAAATAATAATTGGGTTTGATATCTTGTCCCTTTGTGCGTTCATAATGATTGTCTGATTAATATTCAATTGTTAGTTCACAAATATATAAATGGAAATATTTTGCATAATTGCCGGAAAAAAACTTGCCCCACCACACTTAAGCTGAAAGCTTATTAAAATATTACGATTAGGAACCAATTTTTTTTTGTAGTTTAGTGATTTTGTTACTGCTAATGTTGGTGAGGAAGACTTGAAATCAATTTAACTAGTAGTACACATTATTCTTAACCTCTGATCAAACTCTAATGAGTTTACGTGGTCTAGTTACTCTAGCTAGTTTCATCTTACCAACTTTGTTCACAAGTCTTTGCCTTTGGTAAGGCTAACCCGATTATGTGTATTATGAATTGAATTAAAACATTATTTTGTTGTAATTGACTTCTTTTCTTAAACTAACTCTATATGTGATTAATTTAAATTTATCTTCACCATTTCTCCAATATTAAAAAAAAAAAAAAGGACTGAAAGTTATTATTGGAGTTTGCTAATCAAAATAGTTCAACAATCATTGAAAGATGTTAGACATCAAACAAGTATGCTATTTCTTGTTTTTATTAACCAATCCAAACATATAATTGAACTATATACACCAAAAATAAACCAAAAAATAAAAAGTCTATAAAAGTTAATATCGAGTAAACCTAATTAACAAAGTGTTAAGTAGTGGAGCACTATTAAGAAACGGTGTCTAGTAACGGCGTTAGCACCGACGAGGAAGGAGATGGTATAAAACACACACACCAACATAAATTGCAAATAGTATCATCATCATCATCATCATTCTCATTACAACACAACACAACACACAGAAGAGAGAGAGAGAGAGATAGAACAAGAAAGACAAAAACAAGGAGAGCGGTTACAATTTCTCTTGTTTGTCACAAGAACAATGGGTAAGCAAATTCTAATCTTCTACTTCGATATCTTCTATGTTCGAAATTTTTGGTTTGAGATTTAGAGTTTTCTTGATTGTGATTGATGATCATAGTTCATAGTTCATAGAGTAGTTGAGATCGTTTGAGCTGCATGTTCATTTTTGTTTAATGCAAGAAAGCATCGGTTGTTAAAAACAACTAAAATTTTGAGTTTCTTATTTGTTTATCATGTTCTTTAATTGTTTTGCTTGATTAAAAATTTAGTTATATCATTAAGGAAAATTATTAACAAAGAAAGTCTTCAATTGAAAAGTTTTGATGTTGGTCCAAAGCCATGATGATTTATGCGTTTAACAAAAGTGTCTTTTCTTTGTTGATTCTTGACTATGCAAAAAAAAGATTTGTCTTTTGGTTTTGTCTAATGCAAAAAAGATTTGGTCGTGTGAACAGTATAATTGATCTTCTTAGAGAAATTGAAACTTGTTGATTATATTATTATATATGCATTGTTTGATTATGCTTAGAATACTATATTACTTTTGTTTAAATAAACAAGCTGTATTCGTCTTTGATGTCCCTACGTTTGGTTAGCGCCTAATGCTTTTAGAAGAATAATTTAGATGGTTAGTTGAATTCTTGGTCATCATTTGTAGCTAAGTATACTTTAGCTTGTTATACTAATAATGAACTTGAGTTGTATATTGTCTATGATTTATATAAGGTGGCATACCAAATATATATCATAGTATTGAATTGTGTCGTAAACGCTCTTTGGAAGTGAGTTTTTCTTGGTTTCACATAGAGTATGTGTAATATGATTATCTTTTTTACTTAGTTGATTTGTGTTTGTGTGGCAGATATCTGTATGGACAAGGAGCCAGATGGTGTGGTGGTCTATGCGAATGGTGATTCGTGTAATCCGAACCAAGAAAATGTTTCTGAGCCACTCTTAGATTCAGTATCGCGCGATGATGCGAATGTACATACAGAGCTTCGGTATGCAGAAGAGAACATCGAAGTGAACGAGTATGATGTTAAAGAGTGTACTAGTGAGGTTCCTGTTGGTAAGCCGACAGGAGATGATTTTGAGTCCAAGGATGTCACTAAGTCAAGTTTACCTGCAAAGCATGGTTCAAAATCAGGTAGAGGGAATAACAAAACAAGGAACACCGTTCCACAACCGTTTTGTTTAGCGACTGAGAAGCGTGCTTCGTCTACACGTTCGTTTACGAGTGAATCTCTCGAATCAGCTGGGTTGAAAAAGTTTCCGGATGGGCATAGTAAATCACAAAACCAGAACACAAAGGTCAGAACTGATTATATTATAGCAAACATACTCTCTTGAATCTTTTTTTTTTTTGTCAAAACGTAACGCCTAATAATCTATTTGCGACTGTAGGTGACTAGGAAACCATTGCAGCCAAAAAACAAGAAACTTTCTGATGAGGAAGATTCTTGCTCTGTTGCTTCTTAGTATGTTTCCGTCTTAATTAAAATTGATTTCTTTGTAACTTACAATTTCAACCTATTTATCAAGTCTTGACTATTGTTCACAGTTCCACGTCGGGTGCAAAGTCTGCTAAATCAAGAAATGTTGCCACCGTAGCTCCTTCATTTCGATCCACTGAGCGTGCCGAGAAGCGGAAGGAGGTGATCTTTCTTTCTATGTTAAGTTTGTAACTACTTGTCTAGCACTTACACTCTAAGAAGTTTCTAATACATTATGCATTGGCTTTAATTGTTTTATGTTCTTTAGTTCTATACAAAACTGGAGGAGAAACACCAAGCAATGGAAGCCGAGAAATCGCAAAGTGAAGCAAGAAATAAGGTGCCATGCTGTTTTCCTTTAGTCTAGACTTGTATAACATATGTTGAATGTTTTTGTTTTTTTTTGGTAAACATATGTTGAATGTTTCTAACATATTATTTTCCCTCTCTTACTATGTGTGGAACTCAAAATCTAAAGGAAGAAAGCGAAGCAGCCTTGAGGAAATTAAGAAAAAGTTTGAGGTTCAAAGCAAACCCAATGCCAAACTTTTATCACGAAGGGCCTCCTCCAAAGGTTGAACTTAAGAAGGTAACACACAAGGTTGTATACAATTTCACTACAACATTCACATAAATAGATATTACCCCTAAACTTTAAAACCCGTTTCGAGTTGTAAACTTTGCATTATGCTTATTATATCTACAATGGTGTACATACACAGGCTCCTCCAACTAGAGCAAAGTCGCCAAAACTAGGACGGAGGAACATAAAAGAAGGGAACAAAGCAAAAGGAGCATCGAGGCGGCATGAAACTCGAAAGCCTCTAGTGATCTCTAAAGAAGGCCATGCTGATGAAACTACACATTTGGAACCGGAGACCGCTTTTGTGTGCTAAAAAAGAGTCTTTTTGGTCACAACGAACTGAGATTTTATGTTTCCGTTGTGAGAACGTGTGGGATGGTTTGTGTGTTTTTAACTTATGATTTGAAGTGTAAATGTGTGTAATTTAAATGTTGTTTATGTCGTGTTTATGAATGTGTACACATAGAAATAAGAATCTTACTGTTGTGCCTTTTACTTGTTTTTAAGTTATAATGAATCTTTTGTTCATAATAATATTTAACAGACACAACGAACGAAGCCTATGTAACCTACCATGGGTCGTGACTCGTGAGAGGACCATCATCGAGAGCCTTGCTTACACTTTTCAAGGCCATAAGCGAATTGTGGCTCTTTTCACTATATCAAAAAATTACCACAAGTAAAAAATAAAAATAGAGAACTTAACTAATAATGATGAAAAATATTCAAAACTCTATAAACATTTATTTGACACACACAAAAAAAAGAGTCTAAACCTTAGGAATAAAAATGTTGGGACCCTGAATTTGTGAATAATGGATGTCATGGGGTCCAAGACCATTGCCTTATTTATACAAAATTTTTGTCACGGCTCTAATCATAATGACATTATATTAATTTATACAAAAAAAGGAGGTTGTTTGATGAAAGCTGTCATTATTGGTGAGAAGTTGGTGGATCAAAAATGAACTGGTTATTCCTTAATCATTTCATTAGTTGTTTGATTATGTTATCAATATGTTGCAACTTGCTCCAATCTCTCCAAACTATATATAATATCAATATTTTAAAATGCAAAAGATAAAAAAGAAAATATTTAGTTGACAAGACAAAAAAGAAAAGAAAATTATTATTAGTTCTTGTCGGTTTGTATTGCCATATAACAACATAAAAAAAAAAAAAGAAATGTTATCACCGTTTCTTGCACAATCTTGATTTCGTAATAGAAGAGTAAGCTTAGCACTAATGGGCCTAGATGGGCCGTAAAATGATATATATATGTGGCGCAACGATGGTGGATTTCAGGTTCTGACACAGAAGAATCTTAATCCAATTTCCCAACACAAGACAGCAGTCACTATCCAGAACTCACACGTGTTTCTCGAGCTCACATCGAGTCATCGATGACTCTTACAGCTTCACATGAAACGTTACCTTCTCCTTTGTATTAGTTGTGTGAAATTTCTCTGCACAGCACTCTATAGATTTTTAGTCTTACGTCGATGTTTCTTATGTAACAACAACTATTAATAGATGTGATTAGAACAGTTATAATAGGATTATGGATTTAACTACTACATGAAAATAAAGTGGAACAGATTTAGTATATAATCCAGACTTGCTAATGATTTATTTACTGGATATTTTATTCGTTAAAACAGAAATATTAAAGTTTAGTTAGAAAAATTTGGTTGGTTTGTCTGGAGTTTTGATGTCCTACCATCACCCATAGATTTTTAATTTTCTTTTAAATTTTATACATCCTAGTACTATTTTTTTGTCTTGATTACTGAATAATTTTTTTTATGTTGGTAACTAATTTATCCTCCTTTAATTTATATGTATACTTCCTTTCTAATATTTGTTCCTCTTCGTTATGCTTTACAAGTTTGTTCACTATATTTAAATCCTTTTTCAACAACTTGTAGCTTTTCTTTAAAACTTATCTAACAATTTCAAAATTTCTGTTGTATATAACTTTTCAGCTAATAAACCAGTGAAACTTCCAAAATATCCTACACTTATAAAAGAAAATGGATTAGCAACACTTCAATATGTTTTTTTATATACAATAATATCCAAAGTAAACTTAATATCATATAAATATTTTGGTATAAACTTAACGTTAAATCGAAATAATCGCAACTAAAATAATTACATCAGTATTGTTTTCGTTTTCATGCAGCATAGGTTTTACTTATCCACAACAGTAAAGCCACGTCATTGTTATTAACTTTTTATTTTCAAAATTTGTTGAAGCAAATTAAATTTAAATTAATAAAATAAACAGGCGGAAACGACTCTTATCTTCTTCCTCTTTTTTTATTCTCTTTTTTTTTTTTTTTTGGATCGCTTCCGTTCAATGTCGTTAGATTCTCCAGCGAAACAGAGCAATCTGAAACTATCTTAGCTCCGCCATAGCTCAGATTCTTTTGATCTATCTAATTATGGATGTTTTCATGGATTTATTCAAGAAACCTTCTGTTACAGAGACATTCGTCGACGTTTTGCTATGTGCAGTTCCGATTTGGGTCGCTGTTACGATCGGTCTTTTGATTGGTTGGTCTTGGCGTCCACGGTGGACTGGATTGGTTTTTCTAGGGTTCCGTTCTAAGCTTCGGTTTCTATGGACTGCTCCTCCTGGATTTGGTGCTCGTCGTCTTTGGCTTGCTTTCACCGCTCTCTCTGTTTTTTCCGTTTGCCGTACTCTTTGGTCAAGGCTCGGTACGAGTTCAAAGAAATCTTCGGTTATTAATGGTTCAGCTCCGATGTCTAAACCGGTCGATGAAGAAGAAGAGGAAGAAGCATTTTCACGGTTGGTTTAACGGAAGAAAGTAATATGTTTGGGTTTGTTCTTGTTGAGTTAGTGATGTTAGCTTTGGATATTTTGCAGAGCTAGTGATAAGGTTATTGTGACAGAGAAGGATCTAAAGCATTTGTTGCATCTGCTTGAAGCTGGAAATGCTAATTTGGAGTGGCAATCTATGATGGATAAGTCTACTCCTAATATGAGTTACCAAGCTTGGCGTCATGAGCCTGAGGTAATCTTAGTTTTAAAGACTCTTGCTACTATGTTTCTCTTTTGTGATATGTAGAGAGTAATATAGACAGTTTTGGTAAGATTTTATGAAGGGAGGCGCTACACATTTTGATTATTAGTTCCATATTCTTAGATCTTTTCTGCTTTAAGATTACAAATAGATTCATAATCTAGCTGCATTGGTTCCTTAGAAAAAGTTATGAATTTTTGAGGAGAAGGATATTGCTCTTTGGTCACTACTCTATATGGCTTAGGTACAATTTGGGTATATGTTTGGGCAAGTTGCTACATTTATGTCTCTGATGGATTAAGCTTATAACACATTTTACCTGGAACTTGTTTTTGGAATAGCACTTGGTAAAAGATTCTATTACATCAAATGATTTAGTTCCTGAAAGGTTTTGTTGTTTGTCAGACATGTCCTGTTGTTTACCGTAGTCGAACTGTGTTTGAGGATGCGACACCGGAAATTGTTAGGGATTTCTTCTGGGATGATGAGTTTCGACCTAAATGGGATCCTATGCTTGCTTACTTCAAAACTCTGGAGGAAGATTCTCAAACAGGAACTACCATTGTTCGTTGGATCAAAAAGGTATTTTGTGCTTTTCTTTTTTCTTGATAATGTTAGTTCCTCTTTCTTACTGGTTTCTTTTGTCTGCAGTTCCCTTTTTTCTGTAGTGACCGGGAATACATCATTGGCAGGAGAATATGGGAATCTGGGAAAAAATATTATGCTGTGACAAAGGTATGATCTTGGATTTGCTTCCTCATGGATTCAAAATATCACTAGTAGTTTGGAATATCAGAACGTTCGTCTGATAGTAATATACTGTTTTGGTATTAAATGTTTGTAGGGGGTACCTTATCAAGCTCTACCAAAGCGTGTTAAGCCGAGGCGAGTCGAGCTTTATTTCTCAAGTTGGGTTATCAAAGCAGGTATGTCCACTTCGACAGCTTGCTAATTTCCTTTACCAGATTGTATCATGTCTGAATCTAAGTGATATACACAAAAATGCAGTTGAATCCAGAAAAGGGGATGGACAATTATCAGCTTGTGAAGTCTCTCTTGTCCATTACGAAGATATGGGAATCCCAAAAGATGTAGCAAAGTTAGGAGTCCGTCATGGCATGTGGGGAGCCGTAAAGAAGCTAAACTCCGGCTTAAGGGCATACCAAACTGCTCGAAAACCAGGGACTTCTCTCTCACGGAGTGCACAAATGGCAAGTATCACCACAAAACTGAGCATGGATTTGGTGGAAACATCTGGAGCAGAGGAAGAAGAGAGAGGAAGAGCAATGGAGAATGAGAGAAAACAAAAGGATCAGTTCGGTGTAGATTGGAAATGGATCGTTGTAGGAGGAGTGGCTTTGGCTTGTGGGCTTCATTCTAGTGCTATAGGCAAGGCTTTAATGGTTGGAGCTGGACAGAGACTTGCTCGTAGGTGAGATTCATAATCTTATATGTTTCCCTGGAAAATTCTTGGACCAACACAGAAAGACAGATTCGCAATATATATTATATATATGGATTGTTATCTTGTGACTACTACATTGAAAAGAGCATAGTGGTCTTGGAGGCGAACCATGCAGAGTAGTTTTGAACTAAGGGATGAAGTTTGGTCGAATATTTCTTGTAATACAGTTTAAGACTCTGGAGCTTATTGGACTGTTTTATTAAAAGATACAATCTACCTGTCAATTTTATTTCTATGGAGGTGTTAACATCGGGAAAAAATCATTTAAAGATCTATTTTACAATTTTACTAATCATAATGCCACAGGTCCTAAAGCTTAAAGCTAAAGTTGCAGTGCCCATTCAATTGTTCTTACGCTTATCCTCGTTTAGCTCTGATGCTGCAGAGGAACTTTGTTGCTCGATACATCTTCTGATTTTGTATGGCGATCCTCTGCGTAAAGTACAGAATCATCATCAAATCCGGATTCTGATTCAATTGAACTCGAATCTTCATCATCTGTTACAGATAGTTCCCCTTCTGCTACAATCTCACCTTCTTCACCATCTTCTCCTTCTGCATATGTCTCTGGAAATGAATCGTCATCCTCATCTTCTTCTTCCTGCAGAATAGCACCAGGCCATGTGAGACCTTAAACATAGATTCTGTGGTGACTGAAAACCATGAAAAAAGAACAGAGTAATTCGAGGTTCTTACGTCTGTCTCCTCATCACTAGAGGCATAAACCATATTAAGCTTGTTGTATAATTCTTCATCACCCTTGTCTGTTACTTTCCCCATTTGATCCTGATAGAATGATTGCAAGCTCTCAAGTTAGTCTACATTCTTTCGTTAATCAGTGAATGCATGATACAGTATAATTAGACAAAAGCCAATGTAAAATGAGTTAGATCCATTACAATTTCAGCTCTCAGCTGCTCTGCTTTCGCCTGCATCGTAGAAATGTGCTTCAGAAGACCCTGTTGAATGCAAACGGAATACAGATCAGCTACTGAGTTCCAAATAAGAAAGCAAATGATGATTTTATATCAATAAACCTCGCGTCTTTGGAGCTCGATGGAACGCGCTAAAGCCTTCCTCTTTGTCAAAAGATTTTTCGGCCTCAACATGGTAGGACGCTTATAGTCTTTTCCTCTGTACACGATTATGGCATATCCTTTGGTAACCTTGTCAATAGAAACCAGGATACCACCACTCTCGGCTTCCAGGGCTAATGCCACTTTCCTTACACCGTCAAAAGTTTTAGCTTTCACAATAATTTTGACCAACTCTCTGTATTTCCAGTGCAAGTGCATGTTCTCCACCGTACCGTCAAACACTCCTCGCCTACCTGAAGCAAAATTTTCAGGTTTCTTTTACGAGTCAGAGCACATATAGAACACACTCGACTGCACTCATCTGTTATTGATAATTTACCTAGAAGTAAGAAAGCTTTCATTTTCAAGCCAAGCTTGCGGAACATAAATCTCTCTTCATCAGTTATGCTTTCTGGGTCGTCTCTCTGCTCCACAGGCTTAAGACACGCTTCCACCTTAGCCAAGCCACGTTCAGCTTTCAACAGCTTTCTCTCAGCCTAAAGCAGAAGAACCGATCTCATTAATTTGAAGAACAACTCACGGACACATGATATGTCAATCTAAGTTAAAGGTAGGAGAAAAGAAACAAGAGGCAAGTCCAGAACTCACAAAAGCAAGTTTCCTTTCCAGCTTCATGACAAGATTTTCATGCCTCAATATCTCAACCTCTTGTTTCACTTCGTCTGTATGATCATCATCGTCCAGATTCTTTCCCCACTTACCAGTCGCATCAAGAGTTTCACCAAGAGTACCAGCAGAAACAAGTTTTTTGGCGGGTTCAATACATGGGACAATCAGAGCTGATGAACCTCTCAAACGTGCCTGTTCTTCTTCGTCTTGCAAAGTCCTTGCAAACCTTTCCTGCTCCACCAATGCGTCAGCTACTTCTCGTGACAAAAAATTCTTACCTCTGTAGAAAACCAAGTAGTCTTTATTCCTAGAGAGTAGTATACCTCCTGTCAGTTTCTGCAGTTACTTACCAAAAACATGATATCAAATATACATCTCCAAATGCAGATAAAAGAAAAAGAGAGCATAAATGCATACACAGGAAAAAACAGAAAATGCTTGAAGACTAAAAGTTGAGAAAATAGTATAGATATTCTATAATCTTTATATGACTGGGTCAATTCAATTATTTTCAGCTCTCTTGCTCATTTTTCCAGAAAGTGAGGATAATAGAATTTTCTCTCCAATCAGCAATTCAACATTAACCAGCCAAGAGTCCTTATTACCTTGAGATCTTCAGCCATTCTCTCACTGGTAGTTGATTGAACGCCACGTTTAATAGCAATCTTTGCAAGCATACTCTTTTCCCATAGCCTGATCATTGCTGTAGCCAATCCTTGGAGCTGCCTACTTCGACCTGGAAATCAAAAGAAACTCTATTTTTCAAAATCTCTTCCAGACTCCCAAAGAAATAAATATATATATAGAAATAGAAATCTCATACCTAAAGCAAAATGTGGAGGAATAGATCTAGCAAGTCTTCTCAAAGCTGTTGCCTCCTTTGGCCCCAGAGATGATTTTACTCCATAAGGAAGTATCCTGAAAGGTGGTTCATAACCAGGAATGGCGCCTGGAAGCAAATCAGCATCTACTGGTAATGGATTATCTCCCGGCCAGTCCATGAACCTAGGACCAAGACCATCTAACAGTTCATCAATTTCATCTTCATATTCTACTTCTGGTCGAGATGTCTGGTCTTTCTTTTCCGCATTAGTTGGCTCCTGCTCCAGTTGAGGAAGATGAACTTTCTCATCACTATTATCCACCATAATTGAAGTTTCAGGTAAGGTAGTAGGTGGCGTCTCCTCTCGTCTTTGCTTGTTCCATTTTCCTGAGGGAAGCTCATAACTGACACCTCTGTACAAAGAGATGGAAGTCCCAGACCTCCAAATCACTAAACCACCAGTTTTTTTCTGCCATAGAGAGGAAAAGAGAAGTACATTTTAACAAGATAAAGGAAAAGACATTGAAAAAATCTGACAAATTTTTTTGTTTATGCTTTCATAAAGAACATTGGACTTAAATCGTATGTTCATGATATTTGCAGACGAAAGACAAGCCTTATGCAACCAAATCCAGTGATTGGGGCGTCATAAAAAGCAAACCTCTAATATCTCATGCATCTTTCTCATGTTAAGCGCACTTGCTCCTTCAATCTTCAATCTCACAATCTCTGCGCTTTTCCACTTCTCCTTAATTGCATCCACTGCCACCTGAGTCACACCTGCACCCCGAATCCTCATCTTGCTCGCTGTTCGAAATGTCAAATTCCTCAACCTCCTTAGCTCTGATTCCGGAAGAGTCATTTCCGCCAACGAGTATCTATTCTCCTTCTTTGCAGTCCACTCTGCTTCTAACTCCTTCTTCTCCTTTGCGCTTATCTTCTCCCAAGGAAATCCAACTTCTCCATCGCCTCCAAACATATTATCTCTACCAAGTAACGATTCCTCAGTAAATCCGCCTCTAGTATTCGGTAAAACCCCTTCTTCAACAAAGAATACATCCTCCACCGATCCTTTCTCAACCCTTCTCTCTTGTTCAATCCCCTGATTCTTCTGACCCTCCTTATCATTTTCCATATATCCATACTTTTTCAATTTCTCCACAATCTTCTCCATTGTACTACCATCACCATCTCTACTACTATCACCACCACTCACAAGCCCTGACCCAGAAAATCTCCCTTCTTTTCGATAATTCACAACTACCTTAGGAGGTTTAGGTTGATTACGTTTCTGAACCCTGTTCCAGTTCTCCAACCACTCACCATTACCACCATCCCTACTAAAGCTAAATCTCCTCGATGAAATCTGATCATTTCTCGAACTAAAGGCGACACCTTTACAAGACCCTAGTGAAATTGATGAACTGTACCTTAAGAAACGGAAGCAGAAGGAGCTTTGAAACGAGTAGACAAACTTCTTCGTGACCGTAGTTGGGCAAAAATGGAGACTTGGTTTCATCGCCATCGATGGGTTTATCTATTCACAGAGAAATGTTTTTGTAATCCAATCCATAAAAGAAAAAAAATCGAAATTTGCAATAAAAATTTCAGCTTTAGCCGCCACGAAGCTCTGGCTCTGTGTTTTATCCATGGCGGGCAAAAGAAGAGTGGAGAGATAGATAACTAGTAGAGCCTTGTTTGGATACAGATCTTTCTTTAACCTAAACAAAACCAAACAAAGAACCAATCCAGCGCATCTTTATCACATTTAACTTAAATGAGCTAAAATGAGCCAATTTTTAAATGGTACAAAACGGTACCGTTTTTAAAAATCCCCAAAAGTCACAAGAAGAGCAATTAAATAAAGAGTTTCCCATAGGTCTCAGCAATTTAAATAAAGAAAGATCCTAAACTTAGCAAGTCTTTTTGAAAAAGGAACCTATTCATGCTTTCTTGCACAGCAAGAAATAAGCTTAAAAAGAAGAAGAAAAGTTTGATGTTCTGAGAAGAATTATCCAGACTGAGAAGAATTATCCAGACCCAGACCCAGACCCGGAGGCAGAGGCAGAGCCTGAGCCTGAGCCTGAGCCGGAGGCAGAGCCAGAGCCGGAGCCGGAGGCAGAGCCTGAGCCAGATTTGTAACTGTAGTGGAGAGGCATGAGGTAATCAACAGCGGAGTCTCCAACCATCACTGGACCTTCAGGAACTGGAGTTATTTGAATGAACCAATTTAACAAGTAACATAGTGTCTGTGAAGAACACACTGGCTCATCCCCTAGCCATATCTCCACCTGCAAAAGGAGGTCAACATATTTAAGAGTTAAAAGACGAGTGAGAGAGATAGAGAGAGTGAGTGACCAAAAAAAGATAGAGACAAGATTAGTTACCTCGTCTTCGGTTTGGAAACCGACCTTTTTCATTAGAAACTTCTTGACTTGTGACACAGTCACGTTTCCATCTCTGTGAATATAAAAACAAACCAAAGAATCAAATACCACACATTCTACAAAAAAACACGAATTGAGATTACAGTTTGAAAACTTAGTTCTTACTTTGCTTCCACGTAGCGAATTTTTTCGTCTCGCTTTAGCATTTCTTGAACTTTGTTATCAAGAACTAGCATTTCACTGTTTCTGTAAAACGAACAAATCGAGTCTTAATTAAGCGCTTCAAAATATATATCATAGGTTAAAGATATGAAAAGAAGATAGGAAAAAAAAAGCTTTACCTAATCCTTAAAGGCACTAGTTTAAACCAAACTCCATTATTATTAGGTCCTTCAACAACTTCCCCTATCGTTTCCACGGAAACCAAAGCTTCTGGTGTAGAACTAGCTGCTGGAGTAGCCGCCCTCCCGTCTTTTCGGGGTCTCAAAGCATAACTATTATTTGGCACCATCCCCTTGTTATCACCCCTCCTATTCCTACTTGGCCTGGAGCTGCTAGCACATTCTTGTTTCCCTTTACCATTGTTCTTTAGTTTCTGACCAGAGACCTCCTCTGTACCCCTATCAGAGCTGATAAGGATAGTGTTCTCATTCACTTGGACTGGGACTTCATTTGCTTCTCTATTCACAACACAGTTGTTTTGAATACTGTCAAGACCATTTGAAGCCACCCCTGGTTCAACAATCATAGGAGTACTGTTGATGTCTAGTGGCGCTGCAACACCATTCGAAGTTAGCGCTGGTTCAATAGCCACAGGAGTATTAATGTTGATTTCTAGTGGCGCCACAGTATCACACAAGGACTTACAAAGATCAGATAAACCTTGAATCGTTCCACTATCATGAGATCTTGATGATTCAGCTTCGTCCTGTATATGAATCAATTCGTCCAGTAAACATTAGTTGCAAGTACAGAGACTTAAACAAAGATAAAGTATACACAGATTATACTGACCAGTTCTTCATCTGGTTCTTTGTTGAGATCAAACAGATAAACCTTCTTAACAGTAGTCTCCTTAGGAGGAGGCTGTTCTGATTCTTTACCAGTATCATTCTTCTTAAGAGCTATAGTTTTCTTGTAACGTTTCTTAATGGCGCGGTAAGGCCTGGCACTGGCAGCCGGAAGAGCTAGCACAACCGTAGTGGGCACCAATGGAGCAGCAGATGAGGATGGTACTCCAGATGAAGAGTCCATGAGTGAAGTTAAAGGCGTTTCTTTCATTTCGCAAGATTCCGAAGAGGCTGCAACAGTTTCAGGTCCTGCCTTTACGCCTTTTTTCTTTGATGGGAAGAGTTTTTCTTTCATAGCATTCTTGTGGTGATCCACCCTGCACTCACATAGATTGTTCTAAACATTTAAACACACAAATGCAAATTCTAAGAAGTAAGAGCATAAGTCAAGACACATCTTAAAACTATGTGAATGGAGAGAATATGAAAAAGAGACTATACCGAAGTTTCTCGTCAGGGTAAGATCCAAGATGAGTATCACAGACTGGACAAGCTGGCAGATTCTGTGCTGTGAAGTTGGAATGTATGCACTTCCAGCAAACTGTTCCCACAAATTTTATAAGTTCCAATTCATATATATATGAACAACGTCTTAGTTAAAGCATCACAGATGTTGGACCAAAACAGATGACTAGATACATAAACAAGCTACACAAAATATATATGAATGTACCAATTAATCAACACTCAAGCCAAATAAAGCTAATGAATGGAGACAAAACATCTTCAAATCACAAAGACATAAACTGAAACTGAACCATCAACTTATAAAACAGTCCTCACCTAAGCTATGAAACAGGTCTATACATGTTCAACACACAACTCTATAACGAAGTCAATTCACACCTGGAACAAACCAAACACTATTCTCACCAAAAGATGAACATAAAAATGGGTTTCAAAGTTTCAGAACCAATCTGAGAACAGTTCTAACCTACAAATGACAAAACCAGACGATATAACCCATAAAATCACACAAAAAAAAGAGAACAAAATTTGAAGAGACATCATCATCACTTACAGGTGTGAAGGCACTCGTTGATGGTAGTTGCAACTTCGAAAAGGTTATGGCAGAGAGGACATGTTAAGCATTTAGCAACCTCCGTCTTCTTCAGTCGTTGTACTGAAGGCATATTCTTCTTCTCGAATCCAAACACTTCACAAAATCTCCGATGAGATCTATATATATAGATTAAGCTGTATCCTTCACGTATGAAGCAACATGGTGCATGCTCTGAGAAGCAAACCCAATAAGAAAAAACAAAACTTTACAGCTGAAATCGGAGAATTGTTGGATTTTTTTTTGTGTGTCTGTCTCTCAGAGGAAAAGATTTGTGTAAGAAGAGAGGTTTTGAGTTTTATATTAGTCAAGATGGGTTTGTTTAGTAAGTAAATGTAAATAGAGAGGTCAAAGTGAAAAAAATGTTAATCTTAAGTGGCTCAAAAATGAAAATATATTATAGTTCTTTTGCCAATGATTATTTGAGTGATAGTATACTTTAAAATCTTATTGTAACGTTTTTTTAAGTATAGAGCTAAAAATTTGTTCTTTAGAATTAAATATTTTATATTTATTTTTCAAGCTCTCTATTTTTTCTTTTTGTTCACATATATCCTAATATTTTAGCTTTAGTAATTTGTAAAGAAAATTATGTATTTTTTTTTCAGTCAACAATTAAGTATTTACCTAATGAAAATTTGGATTTTTTACCACTTTTATGAACACTAAATTAATGCGCGTATCTGTAAATTTTTTAACTTTTTGTATATTCTGGTTCAATACAGAGAAATATATCCGCATGTATATTACGTGTCAACAATTTCGAATCTTTCTAAAAAGTTTTATCTATATATATTTAATATTTTTTGACCACACTAATCTTCTATATTATGCTAGATAAGATCGCCAGATCATATTTATTTATCTTTTAAGCTTTCTATTTATCTTTTTTTTTCTTTTATTACTAACTTGTAAGGAAATGAAAAATTTTACGTGGCCATTTCGTATTCACCAAATGAAGATTTAGGTTTTTACCACTTTTACTATATTGAATTATAAATTGCATATCTCTCACCTAAAATCTCTAAATTTTGTAATTTTCTATGTATATATAGAGAAAAATATATGCATGCAATTCTACATGTCAACGTGTCAGTTTTTCTAATATATATATGTAATATTTATAGAAAGCACTAATCTTGTGTCTTATATATGCTAGGTAATATTGTTAAATAATACCTTTTAAAAAAATTATGTTAAGTATAACAACAATCACATATATTATTTGACTAATTAGAGAGAAGGTTCACCAATTTTTTGTGTGGTATGAGACCATGTTTATTATGTTGTTCGTTTGGCAATCGCAGGAGGCTTGCGATTACGACTGAAAGTTGTTCATCATAATTATATTATTTGACTATTATGTTGTTCGTTTGGCAATCGCAGGAGGCTTGCGATTACGACTGAAAGTTGTTCATCATAATTATATTATTTGACTATTCATGAGTAAATTTTATATGCCATGTAATAGTATATATGCCAGGTAATATTATTTGACTATTCATCTACATATCTGTAATTTTTTTTTAACTTTTTGTCTATTCTGGTTCAATAGAGAGAAATATATCCGCATGTATATTACGTGTCAAAAGTTTCGAATCTTTCTAAAAACATTTATCTATATATATTTAATATTTGTTGACCACACTAATCTTCTATATTATGCTAGATAAAATCGCCAGATTATATTTATTTATCTTTTAAGCTCTCTATTTTTCTTTTTTTTTTCTTTTCTTACTAACCTGTAAACCTGTAAGGAAATTGAATCTTTTACGTGGCAATTTTGTATTCACCAAATGAAGATTTAGATTTTTACCACTTTTACTAAATTGAATTATGAATTGCATATCTCTGACCTAAAATCTCTAAATTTTGTAATTTTCTATGTATATATAGAGAAAAATATATGCATGCAATTCTACATGTCAGACTTGTCAGTTTTTCTAATATATATATGTAATATTTATAGACCGCACTAATCTTGTGTTTTATATATGCCAGGTAATATTGTTAAATAATACCTTTAAAAAAATTATGCTAAGTATAACATCAATCACATATATTATTTGACTAATTAGAGAGAAGGTTCACCAATTTTTGTGTGGTATGAGACCATGTTTATGATGATGTTCGTTTGGTAATCGCAAGAGGATTGCGACTGAAAGTTGTTCATCATAATTATATTATTTGACTAATCATGTGTTCTGCAACTAGCTGCTGCAATCAATCGCTGCGATTGCGACTGAAATTTTTGATCGCAGGAAAAAAACATCAATGCTGCTATTTTAAATGCGATTAGTCGCACAATTACGAAACAAACAACATCTCGAAATTTATAATTGCAGTCACAATCGCGGCCGCCTGGGATTGTGAAATGAATATGGTCTATGATACTTAACAATATTTTTAGAGGTTTTGGTTTGGGTCACTGTATGATTAGAGTTGAACTTTATAACTATATTTGAACAAATTTATAGCTCTATATATATATATGTATATATAAACTCATGATAATTCGAGTGATGCATTAGGTCTAGTTTATACTCAAAAGCTTACTGAAAAGTTCTTGCTAATTTTTTTTCATTTTTTGTATTTTTATTTTTCAAGCTCTTTAATTTGTAGTATTTTTGACATTACTATTTCTAATGTATGTTTTTGTTTAACATTTTGGGAAAAAATATACACATAAAAAAAAGTGTCAAATTCGAACCTTTATACAAATTAATGTACATTGAATTTCATCTCGCATCACATCAAATTTGTGTATTATGCTAAGATATACCATTAGATTAATTTTTGTTTTAATGATGTTATTTGTGTGTGAACCTTTAGAAAGAATGTTCATAAATGCTGTCGTAACAATAATAATTTTTACACAAATAAATCTTTTAAGCTAGTTTAGTGTTTTCAAATGTGTGTTGCAAGTACAATGGAAGCAATAGTGCAGAGTCAGTGAAAACCCTCGAGTGTCCCTGTAGGATCCAAGACATGTTCCTAAAAGCTTTTGCTCCACGAGACCTATTCAATGCTTTGTGGGAAGTGTGTGGAACCTTGCTCTGCTTCTCTTTGTGTTTGCTCAATTCCTCTTCCTCTTCTTCTTGGTCTCTCTGCTTTTGGGTACCTCAGTTTGGTTGATTTGCACTAAACTTGGAACATAAGAGCTTGAACACAAAAAAGAGCTACAATGTGCTTCAACTTGTCCAATATCCACTTTTTAAAAGTAACTATCTTCTCCAATGATGTAAGCTTTTCTGTTGTATGGAGATGCGTCCCTGTCGCCGTCTAAAGCAAAAACCACAGCGAGTTTCTTCTCTTCGTCAATGAAGAAACTGTCGAACTCTCCATCAAAATCTAGTCTTTCAGGACCAGCGAGTGGCTCAATATCAACTTTCAAGAAAGGGATCCACGACACTGCATTGGTCTCTATCTTACTAGTAACCCATATCTCTATTATTCTACTTGTAGTACCATCCTCTACGTATATCGCAGCTAGTTTCTCTTCTTTAACACAAGATACAAAATCAGAAACTTCAAGCTCACACGGTAGATCAAGAAACTTTCCAAATTTTCTTCTGTAAAATCAAAACAGATTAAGAAATCAGTAGCTTCATCATCGGAGTCTGAATCTTCATCATCATCATCATCTTCATCTTCTATTATTTCTCTAGTGCAAAAATAAGTATTTCCATTTACAGATACACCCCACGGTGCCTGACAATGACAGATTATATCCCAGCTGGCAATAAAAGTTAAACTCCTCCATGAATTAGTCTTAAAATCGTATATATCGCAGTAGCCCTGGTTATCTATATCAAAGCTCAATATTTTGTGGTTTTTGTTTTTGTCATATCCAAGAACAAACATGGTTCTTATTGTTGTGGTTGTAGTGGTCTTGATCCATCTGGTTTGTCCTAAATATGGGTTCCAAACCACGAGCGTTGACATATCCCTGTTGACACATAACAATAAGCCGGCGCAGTAAAAGACTTTAGATATCTCCACTTGATACATTAATATACTAACCAAGTCTTCACCATCTACGTTCAGGATTCTATGGAGATCGAACCTCATTGAACAAAGCCTATGGTTCATCATCATGAACCCCATAAATTGCTGCTTTGATTCTCCTGTACATAGAATCTGATCTTTTGATAAAGCGTTCCATCCTTTGCAAGTACATCTCAATGCTCCAAGACAAGTTTTCGGAAGCCTAGACAATATCTCCACTACCAAATCCTGCGAAAGATCGCTCATGCACGTCATCTTCCTCAAATAATAAAACTAGGGTTTCTAACTTTCACCCTTGCCTATTCGTATATATATACTTCCCAGATGTGTTTTTATATATAAATATGTGAGTCTATCTAATTAAGCCTCGCAAAATGTCAAAATAGACAAAAAGAAACTGGAAAAAATCCTAAAAGGGAAAAGCATTATTTTCGGTAATGTTTCTCAAATTCTGAACTAACCGAGTATCCGAATTAATCGACCCGACCCGAAGTAGCAGACATTGTATATTGTTTTGTTTTCTTGAAAGAGCCTTCATGGGAACTGCGAAGTATAATATAAACGAACCTCTGAAAGATGTCAAACTAGGCCTGTCCATAAAACGGGCTCATGAGGCTTTTGTACAAGTTTGGATTTTTATTTGGTTTGCAATTATTTGCAATTTTTATCGAATTTTGGATTACAAATTTAGTAATTTACAATGGCCCCTCTACAGTCTCTTAAGATATTACAAGAACTGTGGTCGGACGAAATAAAAACATCTAAAATACATTACGAGTAAAAAAAGAAACTTTGCTGTGGAGACATGCATGCAAAGTAAAGAGTCCCAAATCATCATAATTTAAAATTTCCATTATTTCTTTTTAAAAATAAATATTTCGAATTTGTAGGCATACTATTGTTTGTGTAATTCGGATCCTTTTCTTTCTATATTATATATTTGCATGTAGCATTATTTTGGGAATTTATCAATAAGACAGTACATTTCTTAATTAAATTTATTAGATTTGACCTAGAATTTGCAAACGCATGCATGCATGGCCCTAGTAGCTTTAGCATTTTTTTCTTCACTTGGTTAAATTTTTAAGAAATTAAATTTTATCGTTGCATCGGATCCAAGAAAGAAAAAAAAGTTTGGGTATTCCAATCATCAAAAATCATGAATTCTGTATTTAGTGATCCCATGTCACTCATTACTTTCTTTATAATTGAATATAGCTAGAATTAAAAATAGAGTTATGTGATCGAGCTTGGTACTACACTAACTACCAATAAAACTTACCCATAAACTCTACTTAGTCTACTTCATTTGTAATATGTCTGAGTTTTCAATGAACCAATACAATATATTGCTGTAAGCTTAGAATCCAAAAAAAAAATTATGGTAGGAGTAATATAGCTACTATATACATAAAAAGAATTACTATAATACATTGTCAAATATAATTGGTGTATTAGTACTTAATTAGGACCCATGAGATGGCGCATTGCTTTAGTTTTATTTGGTTCAAAGTCATTATCATATTGCACGTTTGACCTTGGTTTGGCTATTTTTTCGAATAAAAGGATCATTATGCGAGTATAATTAAATTTTGAATATGACACAAACATTGAGACAAATTTATAAAAATAGGATGAAAATTTCTTCTCGTGATCGGGAAAATAGGGTACAAATTACAATAACATAATGGCCATATGAATTAAAAGACCCATGAACATGCACATGCTCTTGTTCCCTAGCTCCTCTCATGGGTCCTGAATTTAATAAATTCCTCCCACAAAATTAGAGCGCAAAAGAGGTCAAATTATACTATTTGGAAAGCATCATCAACGACTTACATAATTTGTACTAGTAATCTATTATATGTAAGACTGTAAGTAATCATTTATCAACCAATAAGAACGATTAATATAATTCGTAAGTCGTAACAAAATGTAAAGTATGTTCAAGACTTATTCGAATATTAACATTGTTAAACTATAAGTTTTATATGTTCGTTTCTGTGTGTATGCTAAAGAAAATTATGATAAATATCTTAATCACTTCTTCTTCTTCTTCTTCTTCTTAATTGCAAAATGAATTATATTGATTGAATTAGGAAAACAACATATTTTTGGAGCGGTGACTTAAATAAAACTTTGTAATGCCGCCACACATATAATCATCAGTTAGTTTAAAATATGACAGATTACGGACCACATGTCCGAAAATATTAGGATCAATTTATGACGAAATGACTACAAACCAACTTTGATTTCTTCATATTTTTTCGTGAGTGGTAGGATATGTTCATTGATTAAAAGACTTGGTGTAAAGGGAAATTTCTTAAAACCAACAAAAAATTGCTCGTGTTAAACAAAATTTTATCAATATATACTATGAGTATGTGACTTGTTAATTCAATCTTGAATCTTGTATATATACTAGGCTTGAAAGGTCAATTTGGACGTGTACATATCCCCGATTACATTCCCCAAAACCCATAAAGTCATTAGAAACTTACGTCTACCAGTAGTTAAGGAAGATTGGAATTGCAGTGTGAGGGTTTGGATCCCTGAGTCCTCGGCTACTAGATTACCCCCCATCACTTGGTAGTAGTGTAGTGGAAATGGTCTTGGTTTGAAAGATATTACTCAAATAACACGATATGGATTCAATACATAATTATCTTTAATAATTTGTCCATCGTATAAGAAGTTGGCCATATAAGTTTCCACCATTAAATTTTGGAGGATATGTTATATAGTGGTGTATATGATGTAATTTTTGACAAAATAAATGTTGTTTTCTAAAACAATTATACATAAAAAAACAATCACCAATGAATTCACATCCAAATTTCATTTCAAACTTGCCACAATATTATGATGACTCATAACATATCTAGCATATTGAAAATCAAGTTTGAAGTACTTATATGTTCATCATTTATAGTGCCCATAGCTACAAAGAGTTAGGAAAATTACAAAGAAAAGCAAGTCGTTAATTTATTTATGTTAAAAGCTAAGATGTTATATTATTGGTACATAGGACTAGTATAAAAGAAACATAACAACCAACTAATTATTCATTTGCGAAGAAAAAACTATAATAACCCACACAAGAAACGACAAGAAGCATAGTAGGGATCAAAACACATGACCATGTACATACACATAATTTATATATATATGCATATACATCAAGTTGTGATTGATCATCAAACCGACAGACACATGTTGGGCAATAAATATGACACAAACACAGAGATTTTGAAGTTTCCTCTCTTTTGGTCACATTACAAATTTGTCCACATCTTTCTTACTGGTAGTAAAATAATACTATTTCCCTATATACCCATCAAGTATTTAATATTACAACACACATATATAGGAGATAACCACATAAAATCATCTTATAACAAAAAAAAACATATAAAATCAAGAACCCGTCATATTGTTGATCATTGATAGTTCTTTTTTTTTTTTCTTCCTTTTTAATTGACTTTAAGATCTGTTCTTGCAGTACTTCTCCATTGCTCTCGGAGCTATATAACAAAACCAAGATAATAGAATTATAATTTATCTCTAAAAAAAAAAGAGAAATGGTAAAAAAGAATTAAAGAGTTAGGGGTCTATATATATGTACGTACCAAGTCCAATGGCTTCAGATCCCTTCATAATGCGCAAACGTTTGCAAGACTCGACAAACATTCTGAAAAAAATAGATATTCAAGTTTTACGGTTAGAACATTAGTATAGGAGTCGTTAACATTTAAAGTTTATTCTATAAGGTTTCTTTGAGGCAATAATGTTGATGGTGTGCCAGCTATGAATGAGCTCTAAACTTATTGATACTATTGTATATATATAATTTTGAAAGATCCTCTTGTCTCTTGCCAACCAATGCATGGTTGTACGTATTTATCAAAACATGGATGTTCAATATCTTTGGCTGTGTCTCTACCAATTCAGGAAACATGGTTAATGCATGAGTTGGTTAATTTCTAAGTTAAATTAAAGAATATGATATTTGACTCACTCCCATGGGACATCGCCGACGAGCATCCAGTCACCATCTTTGTCCTCGTAGCTTGGGACATACTCAGAACTATTCAGGAGGTTCATGAGCTTGCTCTCGTTCATGAAATCTATCATTCCTTGTGCTCCATAGTTTCCTTGATAATTATTAAAGACATTCAAAGATCATATAAATTTATGTGCTTATCTCATTATGTGTATATATACTATAAATATCATATTGTAAATATGTATAGTTTTCCCAATAAATTTTGATATGAAAATTCTAACACGTACCCATAGTGAAGGAGCTGAACATTTTGGCCAAGGCATCAGAGAGATCCTGGTAGCTTTTGTACATCTTGAGGTCAACCTTCCTCAGATATGGAGCACCATCCATGGACACCTTCACCAAGCCGGCTCCAGCCTTCTCGCTGCTGGCCTCTTCCGTGCCGCTGGTCTTCTGCTGAGTCATTATGTTCTTCCTGTAGTTCCTCACAGGTGGCCATCCCACCACTTGTGCTCTATACATACAACAACATTATTTGTAAATGTGTAAATCAACAAAATGTAATTATTAGTTACCATTATGGACCATATTGGTTTGATTATAACATGTATATATTATTTCATGTTTGCTTGTACGCTTGTATATAATTGGTGTTTAAGCATCAACCACACTTTAAAATTATTATTATAATATTTATTTCTTGGTAGAGTATATTATTAGAATACAAACTAATCAAAGTTGTACATAGTTTATAACAAAATTAAAAGATTATTCATATGGGAAGTAAGTATATATGTAATATTTAACATTCAAGAATTTTTATTTTATTCGTACATGTTTATGTTTATCCCTCACAATATTTGTATTTTGTAATCTTGGAGGACATAAAACTATAAATTTTATATAGATCAAAATAGTGGTGAAAATTGTAGATACGTAGTCCAAGAACATATAAATATATACAGATGTTATTTATATATGCATAGCTTACTTGGCAGGAGGCTTGGCAGGATCTTTGATGAGATTCTTCTCCTTGGGAGATGCAGCAACGTTGTTGAGATCAACGGAACCTTCTTTGTTAGATTGAAGATTGAGCATGAGATCAACTGTCTCAGAGAAGCCTCTCTTGCTTCCCACAGCCGATTTGGCAGGACTCTCAACGGCTTGATCAGCTCCACCGGGGAGGCCAAGACATAGCTCCGTCGCCTTGAGGTTCATAAGTTGTCCGATCATGTTAACTTGTAATAGATTTAGAAATATTTGTTTCTCTCTCTGAAGAGGTAAGAGGGGAAGAAGAAAGGAGAGGGGAGAGGCAATAATAATATAAGGGGAGAGAGCGAGAGAGGATGGTGTGGTGGGGTGTATGTATTCGTGTAGTTGCATGTGCATGTCCTCTGCTCTTTTTTTTCCTTCATATGTGGGGTTTAAGACACGTGGGCTTTGATTAGATATTACTTAATCACTTATTCTCTTTTTAAGTTAAGATAATTTTGTTTAGTTAATCTTCCAGGCTAGAAAGATTTTGATTGGTGACCATGGCCAAATTATGTTTTAAACTATACGAGGAGTGTCACATATTGATCATGATCTTCTACTATATATTTGTAATGTTAGTGATGTTTTTGTGTCACTGTCGAGATTCAAATCTGGATAATGTAAATATGGCTCATATAAGACTTACCAATTTGAAGAGATGAGGAAAATTTCTTATAGATAGATACATATTTGTCACATTATACCCATTTTTTTTATAAAATGACTTAGTTCTTTCATCCAGAACTTTTCGTAATTAAATAGCGCATTAGATCAACAATATTGTTTTGTATAAGTGTGTTCAGCATTTTTACTTTTAAATATATACGAAACTACAAAATTATAGTATGTTTTTATAATCTCTCGTACGGTTCTGAATTGAAAGATACATTAAAGTTCACTGTGAGCTCATCATCTGTTCCGGAGTTTAAGGATTTATATTAATAATGATGATGTATACTTTTAGTATATAAGTGAAGTCATGTAGTTTACTACATTTTTAATGGTTGGGGTTAGTTAATGTAGGTTTAGAATATAACTGAAAATTCAACTAATTAGTAAAATAACTAAAAATTTTAAATTTTTATTTGAAAAAGGTACCCAAAATATCTACCGGAGTGACATAATTTTTTGTTCTTTTATATAGAAAATAAGCAAAAGCACTTAACAACTTTTTGGTAACTCCTTTTTTATATTAAAATCTAGAAATTATACACCGAAATCCAGAGTTATTCCCAAAAATTATGTAAAATTGAGTATTCAAGATGTCAAAAAGTACAATACCAGTTTATGATTTTGCAGTGGAAGAATTCGAACTCTGATCTTGTAATTCATAATGATTTTTTTTTTCATTATAGGTTACTTAAGTGCTTTAAGAATTTGTACTATCATACCATCATTACGAACTAAACATTTGTTAAAAAACCATCAATAATGACAGCTTCAATCTTTTCTTTTAAAAATCATCCTATTCTTCCTAAATATATCAGAGTATATCTAAAGCTAACTAGAGCTAGCTTGAGCACATATAACTAGGTACATTAGATCGTATGAAACGAATTCGGATTGTTTGTAAAAGAAGAAAAGAATAAGTTCTCTCAACATGTCTATTTATATATATGAATGTATTAATTAGTGACTAGTTAGATTTGTTAATAGCCTATTTGTTACACATTGTCTCCTCTATTATAGTCAACTGTTCATCGCATGTAAAGCTAGTGGAATTGGGCGGTGAAGTTCTGTTAATCAAATTGGTCAACATTATAATTTAGTTTGTGTCATGTACTGTAGTATTATTAATTTAATTTTCTATGGTCTCCCGTTTTTTTTTCTGTACCATCTTGGTTATTAAATGTGTCTTAAATTTTAGAATAATAAACTAAAATAATAATAGTACTACTCATAATAAAAAAAGCGTAGACATTTGTGGTCTAGGTTCATGTTCTAAGTGAGGACAGTCACTGAGTGAAGAGTGACGTTCAAGGTCCATTGCATCATGGCTGACGGGAAATGAGGAAAGTTCTTGAGAGCTTTTCGATACGATTCTAAAAATGTAAATATTTCATTCAAAACGAAAACATTTGAAAGATTATAAATCTATATTGCAAGTTATGTATAGTATTCATCGTAAAAGCTAATTATGTTTATAGTAATATGGATTGCAAATGCAATATATGCATTTTCCGTAATTATATAAAAAAAAACATAATCAACAAGTTAAAGTAATTTTTATATAGTCTATGATTTTTTACCTTATCAAAATGTCTTTTGAGGAATTATGCAAAAAAAAAAAAACGATTTTTCTTGATAACATTTGGAATTTTATTAACAACCATGAAATTAGACGAAACATCTTTTCGTGAATAGTTGTAATTCACCAAAGAAACTTTTTTTTGTTTTTTTTTTTTTTTTACAAAGAAACAGTATCGTTCGTATTTATGTAATCATATGAGAAATGAAGCCCACACCACTGAATCTTTATCATGTTCAACCGGAAAAGATTGACATGTGTTTTGCTAACCATTAGTGATTAGAGTGTTATTGAGTTCTTTGTAATCAAGTGTTTTGATTCGAAATCTAAACTACTTAACCAAAAAATACAAAACCATATCAATATCAAAGTGGCCAACCGAACATGGCACCAAAACACTCTTAATTATTATTGCACCACCAAAACTTTTTATATATATTCTTTACGTAAAATTTTGTTGGTTTCTTTCAAATATTCCATATTTGGAATTACCATTGATTCCCATTTATAATCACTCAAACAAAGCAAAAAAAAAATATTACACACACTACACTAAATTTGACTTTTTGCTAACTTGACCATAACTCATAGCATATTGTACTACTTAAGCCAAAACAAATCTACAATATTATTAATATATTATAAATTTCATATCTAGTATTTAGCTACTTGAATTAAAAAATTACAGAAGAGAATTACAGAGTTTGTTCATTTATATAAATGTCAGCATGAAACCCGACTTAGGGAACTAGTAAACCTGTATACTTCAGAATTTGTTTGACCATATAAAAAGGAATATATATGTACATCAGTACATGCATGTCCTGGAAAAAAAAAACAGTTTTAATTATAGAAATATCCCACAATTTCGAAGTCAACATTTTGTAAAATATTAGAGTTGCAATAATACTATACGAGTTACCGTAAATAATAATTTTTATTTTTTTGACCATCTAATCTACTCTGGAGTGAACATATTCCTGAATTTCCGTGAAACAGATAATACTCATGAAATTATTATAAATTATTCATAAATATTCCCAAATTAAATTAGATATACACAATTTAAGAAAAATTGTTCCCAAAAGACTTCCAATCATGTAAAAGCCACATGAAAAAAGTAATACCTTAATTCCACAGAAAACATGGATTAGTGAAAATAAATTATTTGCATGTTTGTTTATAAATTGTGTTTGAGTTTGTTTATAAGAGACTATTTCGTCTAATTGTTTTATTTAGCTAATCATTAGATACCAAAAGAATAGAAAACACTTGCAACACGAATTGGAGTCGTTCACAGTTAATAAAATAATATGAAATGGCACATGGATTAGAGTTAGACAGGTAACAATTAACATCTTTTAAAATTGAATCATGCCCATGGTTTTGCGGTAATTGACTGGATTTATAAAAGTCTAGACATGGATAAACATCCAACAGTATTATACTGTACTTGGCTAAATTTATGTTCAAATTCCTAATATAATTTTAAAAAGATTTTAATTTTTTATACTCTTTTTGTTTTTCTTTTCTTAACGTTGATATTAAATTGAAAATTAAGGTTTTTAATCTCTCTGTTTTTTAATAAATATTTTCTTAAGCACACTGATTAGAAAGCCACTATTTAATTCTTAATTGGGGGTCAAATTATTAAAATCATTTACCCAATAAAAAATATCGAAAATAAAAATTATGATTTTTTTTTTGGCTAAGCTAAAGTTATGTATAGATATCCCTACTACTTTCTATTATGTTATATTTATACTGTTGTATGTGAAAATATGATATTCTGTTATAAGGATTTGAAAAATTAAATCAATGGAATAAATTTTTCAAATTACAATTCCTTTTGTTCATAAAAAATATAAATAAATAATTTTTTTTTTGATAAAAAATAAATATATATACCTTTCAAAATTAAGAATTGTTTTTGCATAATTAATTTTGGGTATCCGCCCAATAATTAGTATGCGCAACTTCTTACAACGGTCATGTGGTGGATTATTTAGCTGGAGTTCCAACATTTCTATTATACTTGTGAAGCATAGAGTACTTACTGATACTCAATTTCTAAATTTTGAACTAGTACCATACGAATTGTACGAAAAAAAATCGAAGGTTCATCATAATGATGTCTATAATGAAAGAAGTAAATATAACATATTCATTCAAAAATATAAAAAATCTATTAAGTTTAGGTGTTTAAAAATTAAGTATATACTATTTCTCTCAAATATTTCTAACAAACTGATCCAATACTTTGAGAACAACATGAATATAGATATGAGAACAATAACTTTTATTTGATTCAAATACATGATATCCCACACATGTGGTAAAGTTGTGGTAAAGTTATCCGCATATCAGACTTCTACATAAGTCAAATGTTCAATAGATTTTGAATACTAACTTTTTATTACATACTATCAAAACTAAATTCCGTACTTTAAATAGTTCATAAATCTCTGGAATACGTGAGCACATAAACAAAATTAAATCGTCTAAACAAATGCCAAAAAACTGCAAAACAAAATATAAAAAATGCAATATTGATAATAATTTATTTCCATATATTTGCTGTAAACTAATGTTGATGAAAGAAAATATCTAAATACACATTCAAAGTACCCAGTCTTTAAGCATACCCTACAATCTGGTAAACGGTTGTTTTGTTCAGTTTCTTATATTCTAGCGTGTACGGAAAATGGTTTTATGTGAGTACGAATATCAGTATTACATTTCTATATACTTAAAAATATGAAAATTACCAAATATCATCATAATATAAGCCTAGGTTTTGAAATGGTAATCCTCATACACGAATATTTCTAAGTTAAATCTCGCTTATAACATACATATGTAACACTCGTACAGTTCATTAACATATAAATCGTGGTCAAATGCACAAACCTAGTCGAAATATTTGAAATTCGCAACTACTGAATATATAGACACACTTCAACACTTGGACTTGAAAAGTCTTTTAATCCCTTTAGGAATCCTTTGATCTCTAAGGAAATGAGAGTGAGTGAT